TAGCTTCTTATCTCTTCAGTATCCAGTCTCTATATTGGTTGCTCCATGTAGGTAGTTATGAATCACAAGTCTTCATGTGATAACTCGCTGAACTTCTGAACAGGATCATTATACCAACTCCTATTAGATACACACAAAGTGCCAAAATGCAAAAAACAAATGCCACTATTCCTATGCTTTCGGCGGCCGAGAATCCATTACTTTTACCATCAGCTGACACGCCATCACTGTTTCCTGCTTGGTTCACGCTGACTTCTCCTTTGGATTGCGTAGATCCCATTTTAGATGATGTTACACTGCACTAATTTCAAGTTCTCCAGCCTCTACATGCTAATATATCGTGCATAGTAGGAGGACTGGCAGGATCGCCATGTGATAAACTCAGTTATCCTCTCAGGTTCCTTTATTATAAGTCAAAAGGATAAGGAATGAAACATCTCGAAGTCGATTGATTTCGTCTATTCGTTCGCAGTTAGATGTTAACAAGACCAGAGTCAAGACTCGAATTCATTCACACTGTGTCCTAAATCTGAATACCATGTTTAATTATCTATTCATAAACACCTTACCTAATTATTAATATTAAAACAATATATGCATCGAGAAGAGCTGTACGTAGCAGTTTCGTGGTGTTCCAAATTAATTGTTTAAAATATCAAAATTGTTATTGTTTCGAAATATCGATTGCTATACCAGTACAGTTCGTTTACTGAACTATAAAGTTGATTTCGTGCCATTCGTGTTTTTATGGTCTATTACGGAATTTGTATTACTTTTTCTTGTTTCAATAAACAGTTTATTGACTTATCGATATAATCTGAATGATATCTGAATCAGACTATCATGTAAACAAATATGGTTTGGCAATATCAATATTTCAAAACTAGTAGTTATAATATTCGTAACTTTGCACAGTTACGTAGAAAAGAGGGGACTGTGCCGTTTTGACTTGGTCGCCCGCTTTTAATTGAATTGTTGAAAATATTGAGTAACTCCACTTAGACTTTACACAGCATGTTACAATACGAAAAAGCCTTTTTATTAGGTATACATTCATTGAAATCGTGATATGTTGATTTTTTTCAGTACTGAAATAATACCATTCATCTATCAAAATATCATCAAACCACTTTACGTATCATACCAAAGTTTGGGACAGTTTTGTCGAAGTTATAATCGGAAGAAATAAAAATATATCAGGAACTGAAAGTTGCAATAGATATAGAACGTGCACATTCGAGACAAATGTGTAAAATTGGAATAGAAACAACTTTTCTTCGTAAACTTTTTTGATATTCGAACAAATAAGTTTTCACTTCTGACATGTAGCGAAAGTCACGTGACTTTCCATTTTTTTTTTAAAGCAAAACTTGACGCCCAAGTCGAATTTCAAAATAAATTATTATTGAAAGTTTTTCCCATATGATACCAACTTTATGAATGACACTGTATATCATGCATGATTTTGTATAGGTACGCTTCAAATCGAAGTATCTGAATCGGCATTAGAATAACCTAGAACAATACCTCATAAAAAAGTAATTGCATGGCCATAAAAATATTGACTATTTTCTTCCAATGGTGATAATTATGATATATTCATACATATATTCAAGTATGCAATGTAAACAAGTACTTCCGCCTACGTATTGCATGCTCAAAATTGAAAAGTTTCAACGTAAAGTGTAGGACAGTGTTGGTAATGCATATTAACAAAAAAGTAATTGATTATATTTAACCCAGTTTACCAGTTAAGGAACAATACACTACACATTCCTGTTTCCCCAATAACAGAATAGTCAGGAACAAGAGGATCAATATACTCCTAGACAGTCAGGCAGTACTCAGGAACCTTGAATAGTTTCAAGATATGTTGGGATCAGAACTTTTACGAATCATAATATAGATAGATTGATATGGGTGCCGAATAACAGTGGAATTCCTGGATATGAAAAACCGGTTGAACCAGCGAATGGAAATGGATGGGCTAGCCTTTTTTTTTTTTCGAGATGGTTTAAATCCTTTATGGACACCATATGGGTCCTATCCCCCATATGGTAGTGTGGGACTCCCCTGACTCTAGCCAGGGTTTACCCACTAAAAACTCCACCCCGTTTATAGGCTCGTCTGACCATGTCTCTGACGACACTTAGGCCTATGGTGGCCCATTGTATCTTACCTAATGTTCTTCATTGTGCCCACTCCATTATCTCTGTACCTTGAACAAGTCTGTATAAATCCTTCACTGGATGTGAGTTGAATATTTCTGGTTCGCCAACTGGTTGCCCAAAGATCTTCTGTCTTTTGCGGTCCAATGCCTCACATCGGCACAGTATATGTGCTACTGTTTCTGGTTCCTTGCCACATAGTCTGCAGCTTGGGTCGCCATTGTACAGTCCCATTCTGGCGAGATGCTCCTTTACTGGCGCATGGCCAGTCATCATGAGTCCCGTAACAGTTTTTATCTGTGCTCTGTTCAAGTTGAGCAGGTCTACAGTTCGTTTATGACTTGGTTCCTTAATGTATTGTTTCCCATGTCTGTTTCTTGGGATGTTTTCCCAGTAGCTCTTATGTTTTGCCTGAGTTCTCAGTTCCCTCTTGCAATCCCATGGGCTAGCCTTACAATATTTTGGCCCGAAACCTGCAGTCGGAGTGTCAAAGAACACATCCCAAGGAGCAATTGAAATAATGGAGGCGAATACCTGCACGAACACAAGTCTATGCATACTAAAGACTTTCACCTAGAGACTGGGAGAAAATTATCAGAAGAGCAGAAAAGTTCTTGGAACTCTACAGAAAAATTGAATAATACAACGGATCTTCCTATTCGAAGTATAAGAGATGCCCAAACTTTTTATGTGATGTTAAACTGTTTTTTTTTGTTCACATACATGAAAAACAGGGACAATCATGAAAGTAAAGAAGTACCTACACATTCGGATTTTGGTGAAAATTATACGTGAACATAGGTGAATTCTTGTACAAAAGCAAGATAGTGTTAAAACTGCGAGTTGTGTGAATAATAATGATTTTCTAATGTATGTTTGGCTTCTTGGGAATAAAGGACTACATGCCACAAATAAGAGAAATCGAAATGAATAGCGATGCCAGAATTGCACCTATACTATAGTTTATAGCGTGTAGACTAAGGGTTGTGCGTGTTAGCTATAATAGATGGAGGCGGTTTGTTGTGTAATCCTTGAATCTTTGGATTCTACCTCGGATCTTGAGTAACTAGATAGCAACATCGCAATATCGTCATGTACGTTCTGCGTTATTATCCATATAACTTCTTGCTGAATATATTTTCAGAGAATTATGCCATATATTATTCAATCTAAGGCGCATTTTGATTCGGTGACTTTCGATATCGATTAGAAGAATTCAGACAGTTGAGGTCTTCTTCTTCTTCTTCTTCTTTTGTATTTCTTGGTTTTCTGACTCCTTGCGGTGTAATTTCACCACATCAGGTAGGAGACAGTTGAGGTCAAAAATCAAAACAGATGTTGATTCGTTTATACAACGTTTGTTATACATTAGCAGAATCAGTTATAAATCGTGACCCCAATAAGTTATGTGCTTTTATTAATAGGGATATAGAGGTATTCAATTGTATGGCTTACAATGATCAGTCACTGATCTCCACTCAGGATATCGTCAATTAATTCGCTGATTACTTTAGTGAAAATAAATAAATTTGAGCAAACCGATGTTTTATTGGCGATAAAGCAAATAAATTTACAGGTCCTGATGTCCTGATGAGACTGTGCGCAAGTTCTGGCATATCCACTAACCATCTTGTTCAACATTTGCATCAAGCGCTGTTCAATTCCCTCTTCTTGGAAATTCTCCAAGGTATGCTCCGTTTATAATAAAGGGAACAAAGCTGATATTACTATTTTGCGGCCTATAACAATGATTTGCAACTTTTGTAAAGTCATCGAGATTCAATTAGAACATGATTTGTATCCTTTAATAAGCAATAAAATGACTACATATTATCAATATGGGTTTATGAAGGGTCGATCAACCGTCACTAATCACATTCAATAGACTTGACCACGTATTGAAAAAGGTATTTCAATTTGGACTTTCTGTTTCCCTTTCGGCCTTGTTTTCTTCATATCTACATGACAGGAAACAATATGCCGTTGTCAATAGCTTAAAGTAGATCGACTACTTTGCATCTTCTGATGGTGTACCCCAAGTATCTGACTTAGGCCCACTGCTATTAAATATATTAATGAATGATATGTTGATGTTATCGATGTGAACTGTCTGCTATAAGCTGTCGATATGAATATAATTGAAATATAAATGACTTGAGTGATTGTGAGCGCATTTCTTGTACTCTGGACAGAAATTCTAAGACCAGACATTTTCGTTGAACTAGGAGTAACCTCCGATCCACAGTTCACATTTTTTACCTCATATTGATTACTTAGTGTCGACAGCGTTCAAAATGTATGGATTAATGGTTCGTACAAGTCGAGAGTTTTCTGATATGAGTAACTAAATCCAAAACGCTATACTATTCATTTGTCAGGCAGTTCAACGTCGCTTCCTGCAATTTTCAAGTTTCAAAATTGAACTCCTATCCACCAAGAGCTATTGTTCAGAAGGAACTTCTGGAGAGGCTCCAAATGAATGATTTTAAGTGTCGACGTGAATGCAATTCCGTGAGTTTCTTATACAAAATCATGTATAATCAAATTTCATTTTCATATTTTAAGAACTGCAACTCAAAATGCTCTCAAGATAGAAATATTTAACTGTTCAATGAAACTTATAAAAACCGAATTCTTCAAATAATATAATATGTATATAGTATGCAGCATGTATCAATTGCATACTGATGTTATTGTTTTATACTTATGATGTAAATGTATTCCTGTCTACATTCATTTTCTTTAGATGGAATTTATCCTGTAGAACAGTGTATTAATATTGATAATAAAAAATAATCTCTATTAGCCTACGGAAAGTTAATCCAGCTTTACCTGGTTGGAGGGTGACGGAGCAGGGAGCCATATCTGGAAACTGAAAGGTGAAAGGGTGAGCATTGTCGCCCAGCTTGGCGATCAGCTTCTCTTGGACGGCTGTCAGCTTCTGCTTTTCCTTCTTGCATGGCACCAGCTGATCGGCAGCTATGACCATCTCCTTGCTGAACTTGACTCCCATGACCTCGTCTTCTTCTCGACCATACCGGTATACGGTGAGGACTTGGCCGAAGACCTTCCTCCCCTGAACAAGATGAGAATATGATTTCATTATTTCGATTGAGGCCACTTTTTTAATATTAAGTATATTCCAATCATTTGGATCGCACGAAAAATAATCTCTATTATGTTCGTGGAACATCGTGCGTACTTATTTAAGTTAGAATACTTTTCTTAGCAGAGAGTTCAAAAGATTCGCTGCCCTGCGTTGTTTTGGTTGAACTGGTACGGTACTGGTAGAAGTGGGGGACGTTCGCACGTCAATAAGAAGTCCCTAAAGGTGAGTTCCCAATGCAGCGTTTTTGCTTTACGAGTCGCACGTCATGTAACCTGATTGGTGACGCTGAATTTGAAAATAATTGACGCGATGAAGTCAAAATATTTCAACTTTTTGGTGTTGCTGCTTTTTGCTGATTACTTTGACAGGTCATTTACCTGGTTGAAGTTTTGTTCCAGAAATGTTTTCATTCATTATCAACACTTTCAACACAATAAGGTTTTCCATTTAAATGAATGTTGAATGCTCCATTAGAGGCCTACTAAGCAACATTGGCCCGCTTTCACGCTCAGCTGGTAGTTTTCCACACTTACCTACATACACCCATTCTACTTCTTCTCTGATGCTCACAACCACATCATCATAATTTCTTCCAGTGTATTCTGTGTAAGCTTAGTTACTAACTTCATGCGCCACTTTAGGAGCAATGTAAATGAGGGCTAAAATTTTCAGTCTCACCATCAGTTGGTGTTAATAAAACGTTAGGTCAATGTCAAAGTTAAAAATCCCAAAATTTTGTCGGATAGCCCTAAAGGCTGTGGCCTGTTTTATAGAAAATATTTGAAGGAAATGATGTCGAATATTTGAACAAATAGCAAACCTCAAGTCATGGAAAGCTTGTCCGATTGAAAAATTGAGTTTGAACTCTATCTGTTACAAATTATTTTTTCAATAATCAATTAAAATGATACATAAAAAATATAATTCAAAATTTCAATAGTTGCATTTTTGTCTCAACATGAGCCTTTGAGATCAGATATATCGAACGGAGTAGAGGAGAATAGATATATTGCCAAATATTAATTTTTGATTTTGGGAAGGAAGAGTTGACCACTGAAAATGCTTCACAGTCAACTGTTACTGTGTTACTTTACCCCTAATAACATACCACGTAGAAGATGTAATAACTGATATTGATTATTGATTTATATTTATATCAAAGTTTACAGCTAATTTATTATTTGAGGGGTTGTAGATAAACTTTAGTACTCAATAGCTCTTTGGCTCGTGCTGTAAATTTCATCATCATGAGTATTAGCGATCAATCAATATATAATTTACACGCTCGTTGAATATTATATTGATTAACAGTGGAAGAACGTCTTGCTGGAAATTGTATTCATTGAAAGAATTATAAGATAATTTGTTGTTGATTCCGAATAACTGTGTGATAGAACAAGTTATTGATAAGAATCATACGATAACATGATGTTACTGACCTGTAAATAACCATCTTCGACGACGATAACTCCATCTATGGGATCGGTGTAGTCCAAATGGTCGATGAAGTCCCTCCTGCTCAAGTAGACAGTAACCTTACCATTGGGTGTTGTTTTCTTGAAAACTTTGACGGCAACCACCATTGAGTTCGGGAAGATATCGCGAGCTGTCACTAGCCGAGAGTTTTTTCGAGATTTGGAAGTTGAGGTTCCAGAAACAGCGTGAATACCCGCTGTAGTCGTATATAAAGGGACCCGTGGGGTTTCATAAATGGATTTGCATTAGCCCTAATTGGATGGGGATGAAGGATTTCTCCGTAAATAGTTCGTGTGCCGTGTGGGTGGGTCTTCTGCTAGGTTATTTTAATATACTATATTAAACGAACAATTTTTGTATACAAACTATTTGTATGTAGGAAGGGTTTTCATGAAATATTATGTTTCTGTCTATTAATTGGAGTTTGAACTGTTGGATAATTTCGTTTTTCTGCAACCGACACAAAAGTCGTCCATTTTGATACCAAAATTAGCTCTTAAATTGACGTTTCTATTACTGACACAAAAATAGGTATGTTGCTAGGCAACATATTTAGTTCCTAGGAGCTAAAGTTGAATTTTGGTACCTAGGAGCTAAAGTTGAACTTTAGCTCCTAGGAACTAAAAAGGATGTACTGGACGTCATCGAGAATGAACAACATTGTGACGGTTGGTTATTTGGGTTGAGACGCATACCTGATTTGTTTCCGATTTCAGCAGATTTGGCATTTCATAGCCATGCTGGAGATATAAATTCACCTTATTATAAAAGTTTGGTATTGGAATTAACTATAAACATCTCAGTTAAGTATTTTTGTTTTGATCAGGGAAGCTTTCAAGATTCAAATACTTGCTTGATCTGTATTTCATTCGTTATTCTCGGGATGGATAACTTGTTTTTGAATAATCACGGCAAGCAGTCGGTTTTTTGTCTCAAACAACGATGTTGTTTAGCTTCATTTGATTATCAAGTAAAACACAGTGTAGTATGGAGAGGAATAAATAATCACTATTATCATTGTTGATATGTTCACTAACCTAACATTTTCCACGTCCTGTTCCTATAGCTGGCACTGGCGCGGTATTTGCCATTAGAGCACCTAGTCCATACACAAATATGTCACTCTGTGGTTGTATTTATATTGAAACTACAATTCGAAAACCTAACCTGCTGTTAATGAAGGTAGAATATTCTCACTACATGGATTATTTGTCAATATTTGTTGCAGTGCATACATAGCACGGCATTGGTGGTTACTTCACATGTTCATTTGAGTTAATTGTTTCGGTTGCAGAAAAAATAGCATGTTTCATTCGGATCAAAAGTGACTTTGTTCGACTCGCAAATTTTGCTTTCGCTCGGCTTCGCTAAACGCTCCGCCTCGCAAATGCAAAATTCGCTTGTCAAACAAAGTGTCACTTTTGATCCTAATAAAACAATCTACTAATAATTCGAAAATCAATCGTACTCGTGTATCTACCGAGGTATCTACCTACGAGAATTCGATGGAGTTCTATAGCGCCTTGAAGTAATCCCCTTACCCCTCCTAATTTTCTTTTGAGCGGCTTGGAATTTTTTCTATCGTTTCAAGCTCAATTGGTATAGTTTGAATGCTATATTGGGTGATGCCTCGCTCACAAACTCACTCACTTCTCTGGAACACCGTAGAAAAGTTGGCAATCTGGCTCTATTTCATAGATATTTTCATCGACGATGCTCTTCTGAAATATCAACAATTGTTCCACTCTTGGCAGTCCCCGCGGGATTAACCCGTCGAGTTGAGGCTTCGCACCACTTTGTGGTCACTTTGGAGACCTGCAGAACATCTCTTTCCGAAGACTCGTTCAACCAACGAACAGCGAGGATCTGGAACACATTGCCAAGGAAGGTGTTCCCCGAGGCATATAACCTCCAGAAATGTAAAAAGAACACCAATTCCTACCTCATTTTCCTTGGTTCTCACGATGTTCTCTGAACATTACAGGATATCTTTCTTCGTGGGAACCAGACATTAAAAAAATATTGTGATCACAATAAAAAAATATGTAACTTCCAAAATGACGCCTGGATGCCATTTTGCAAGATTCTTCTCAAATGGAATGGGGTGATCGAGTGAAACCTCATTTGAAACGTATCTGAATCATCTATACGACACAAAAATTTCTGACAAAAATATTCATCCAAAACAAAATGGTGGATCAGGATCTTTTTGACTAGATCGCTATCAACGTACTCTCCTGCAATCTTCAACCATCAAGGAGCATTTAGAAAGATTATCTATTTCGAGAAATGTCGAAAGGGAGCCGTCTTTAAGAAAATTATAACGTTTCGAATGAGGTATCTCACTCACTTCCCTTCCAAAATTGCGTCCAGCTATTTTCCGGGGAAATATGCTGAGGAAAATCATTGATACAAATTATGATAAGAAAATTACTTCCCTGTGGAAGTTCCACTGATACATTCAGGATCTCTGATTTTACTGTAGTACCATTTGTGAAGTCAGTCAATTGTACTGCTTGTTTTTGAAGTAAAATTGTATCCATTTACTTCATAGCAATTAAGTTTCATTTCATCATTGATGGTTGAATATTCATTGAATAATTGGTATTTATCTATCGAAGGCGTAAACTAGGCTTTTATGGACCGTAGATCGCTGTGCTATTAACACGTCAACGTACATAAAAGCAAGTTATACCCGTAATATATACAAAATTTTATGAACGACCGGTTTATCTGATTTTTCATTGTGAATATCTCTCAAGAACGATAGAAATACATGATGGCTGCATTGAGGAATATCATTGATGGAATCAACATTACCATGGTAACTGAGTCAATTTTTTCAAATAGGCGTATTTGCTGTCAATTAATGTCATCACAGATTACTTATTTTGGGTTCGATCATATATATACAGTGTGTCCACCTTAAGGACTCACCACCCCTGTAAAATTGTTATTATTTGACCGATTTCAGAAAACTTTTTTTTGTTGGATAGGTATTTGAAATGTCCATCCAACAAGAGAGTGATTTTACTCATGAACTGTAATCGTGGCCAAGTGCGACCAACTTTATTGACCCATATTTGAGAAAGTACTATTAGGGATTTTTTTTCACAAAAAACAATGATGGATTCTGAATCACGATCACTTGAAAAAGACCATAACTGATTTTTATCATCATAAAACACAGGGTGTCCGAAAAAACGAATTATGTTTTTTTTTAATAGGTGATCAGAAAATGTAGTATTGTGGTATTTCTGAGAAGAATTGATGACACATTATTATTGAGGATCACTTTGAAAATATCTGTACCGATTTTCATCATTCAAAAATACGATGTGTATGAGAAAACAATTAAAAAGAAAAAGTAGGCAATATTTTTTCATCAACTCAAAAAAAATATTAATTTGATTTTTCGAACACCCTGTGTTTAATGATGATGAAAATCGGTACAGGTATGTTCCAAGTGATCCTGATTCATCTTTTTATTTTGAGTGAAGAATTATCAGGATGAAAAATATTGCTTACCTACCCTTTTTAATTTTTTTCTCAGACACATTGTATATGCAAATGACGAAAATTGGTACAGGTTTATTTGAAATAATCCTCATTGATAATTTGTGATTATTTCTTTTTAGAAAAACCACAGAACTACATTTGCTGATAACCTATTTGAAGGAAATGATTATTCGTTTTTTCGGACACCCTGTGTTTTATGATGATGAAAATCGGTACAGGTATATTTTAAGTGGTACTGATTCAGAATCCATCATCAAGTTCCGCGGAAAAGAAATCCCTAATAGTACTTTCTGGAATATGGGTCATTGAAATTTGTCGCAGTTGGCCACGATAACAGTCCAAGAATTAGATCACTCTCTCGTTGGATGGGCATTTCAAATACCTATCCAACAAAGAAAGGTTTTTTGAAATCGGTCGGATGATAACGATTTTACAGGGGTGGTAAGTCCTTAAGGTGGACACAAGATATTCATTCGAAACTTCCAATATTCGAATTTTGAAATAGAGGGTACTTTTCAATAAACATAATATATCGACGGTCAACTTTAGACATATTGAAATACGACATGAAAAATATTTTTTCAACGTTTGGAGAGAAATTTCTAACTAAAAAACTGAAATATTGAAACTACCAGGTAGTAACTGAGACGAATTTAATGTCTTTAAAAGTCTAAAAACGGCAGAGTCGATGAGTATTTGTTGGTACCTACTCAGTAGTAATATTATAAGTACTTCAAAATATTCGGGTTATATATATCGATAATTTGTTGCATAATCACAAAAAGTGTCAGTTTGCCAGTTAAATTTTGATAAACTGACACGATTTGTTATTAGGCAGGAAATTTGATCAACATTTTACGACGTGCTTTATTTGTTATGATGTAGCAATATGAATTGGTTACTATATGGAAATAATTTTAAATTTGTGATTGTCGGACTTACTCTATGTATATCCACGTATATTCGAAATTATAAAAGGTAGCTCAACTCAATTGAACGTTCTGATTGGTTTGAAATCATACGAAGAAAATAATCATCAATATACAATAGGTCAGTCAGATGTCTCGGATGGATAGTGTTAGCGCTCTTATTGCAGAAGTCACTAGAGGTGCTATCACTGCCTATGTGCGATATGTTCATTGCATCTGACTGTACTTCTAACCAGTTAACTATTGGCCTGGTTAAAGAAGCAGATAAGTCCTGGTACGATTTTTAGCGTATGTTTGTTTCTGCTATTACGGAAAAGAATCCACCTTGGATTCAAGTAAAATATACTCAACTGATCATTGCGATACTCTAATCAAGCTAATAATCTGTATTATGAACTATAGCGACTCCATCTGCATCAAAGTGGTTATTGTGCCGTTGTTGTTCAACTTGAGGGTGTGTCCTTATTTCATGCATGCGCAGTATTGTTTTTCTTAGTGTACTAACGTGTGTACTAACGTGTGTACTAACGTGTGTACTAATGTGTTGTGCTTCAATTCCAGTGTGCTTGGGTATCAGATAGGGGTAAGTTGAGCACATTATTCAAAAACAGCACTTTTTTTGTTGCAGCTAAGAAGTTTCGCTTTGATCGCAGACGACATCATGGACAACTCAGAGATACGGAGAAACGCCCCCTGTTGGTACAGGACCGAAGGTGTCGGCAACAACGCAATGCTCGACCTTGTCGTCTTGGAAAACAGCGTGTATTCCGTTTTGAAGAAGTACTTTTCTGATCACCACTCGTACGTGCAGATTGTCGAGTTGTTTCATGATGCCTCGACAAAATCGGCCATGGGAAAATCTCTGGAGGGGATGCTGAGGAAGAGTGGTTCCCCGGACTTGAATCAGTTCACCATGAAAAATTACGATTTGATTGTCAAGTACAGAAGTGGGTTCTTCAGTTTTCAATTGCCTGTGGGAGTAGGCATGTGGTTGGCGAACATGTATGATCCTGAATTGCACAGACAGGCCAATAATATCTTGACCGAGTTGGGAAGATTTTTCAAAATAAAGGCTAGTATTTCCTTTTTCGCCCAATTAATTGAACAGAGACATGATCATATAATAATTGAACACAGACATGATTATATTATCTCTAAAATTTCGGCAGCCGATCATTTGTCACATCCGTGATGATTTTGGTGGCTGTTTTCGATTTGAGGGTCTCTCAAATGATAGGAAAATTGTAATTCGCTGTTTATCTTATTTGATATATTCCTCCAAATTTTTAAAATCTTGTAACTTGTCGAAGCTGTACTGTTGTTGTGCAGTAACACTGAGACGCATGCATCTTCAGCTGTCCTATTTGATTTTTGAAGGTTTGCCCACTAATTTGTTTGATGTCATTATATAATTCCGAATTTAACTATCCACATATCTACATCAGATGTCATATATTATCATAGTATATTAAGTATCAGGTAGGGTGAACACATTTGCTATAGAAGCTATAATTATTTACTATTTTTCATGGCGTGAAGTGTGTTTTTTATATCAAGATACTTTTTTCATTTTATGAACTACTAGCCAATAAAGAAATTGCCACTTCTGTTATAATTAACCAGAATTAACTGTTCTGATGAGTGATTCGTAGGAATGGCACTCGAATCTAGTAGATATTTATCAAAAACGACTCATATGCTGTCATAGTCCTGGTTTAATTCAGTTTAATTCGAATAAAAATCAAAGCTCTCATAGTGACAATATCAATATCGATGGAAACCATATTTACAATTGCGTATTTTTCAATATGTCAATCGTTATGTATTTGTTCAGAAAAGCATTCCATTCAAATTCTTTGATTTTGCACTCTTTGATCCACAAATCCCTCTAGGATTTTTTGCTCAGTTCGCCCCTGTTTAAGAAATATATCCCCTCATTCGTTATTTGAATAAGAAATAGTTTACATGAAAGATCACTTGTAAATGAATGAGGCAACAAATTGTTCGTCTTCGAATCAATAAAAATGTTAATTGATTTTTGGTGATTCTTCAACTTTAATTAGCTACCATTCGAAAATTCATAATATGAGAAGCTGAAGAAAAATGGAAGCCAATCTCTTGCTTGATCCTTTCACAAGTTTACCAGGTTTACACAGGTGAGTTTGTGACATCAATCTATACCCTCATCGGTCATTCAATTGAATCATCGAACATTTCTTGTGCGTAACCTAACCAAACTTCGATCATAATTGAATAAGCCATGAAAAAGAATGTATGGTATTGGCTTCATTCAATGTTAGTAATCCGATATTACATAATTTATTATGAATATTTGCTTTGTAATTTATTGCATTCATTTAGGCCCTCCGCACACGGGTCGATCGGCGACATGGGCGACGCGATTCGAATCGTACGACTGTCTCCCCTCTACTCGACTTCCTAAGCAAAGCATTTGGATCCCGCACACGGGTCGTTTAGTGGTCGTCTATTAGAAACGTACGATTTAAGATCTCGTTTTCAGTCGCATGCGATTAGCAAGGAAGCAGTTTGATCGAGTGAATCGTGCGTCTCAATGGAGAAAGTTGGTCAATAATTTTTCAATCATTGTGATTATTTGTGTTACCTACCTTGAGTTCTTTACTTTCAGTAACTTGAACATAAAATCTTATGTTTCCAATTTATACTCTCAAATTTAGGAACTGTTTGATTTTTTGAAATATAAGAATCTCATACCTCAATGTTATTAGTATGCGTTCTTCTGCGCTGACACATTCCCTCATATTTGTATCCACATAATTTATGGCTGGAGCAAGAGTTTCCACTAGATCAATATAGGATTCCCTCGACATTCTATAAAATGCCAGAAATTTTGTGTCACTCTCTTGCATTTCACGTGCAGCAACATTTTTAGCGAAACATTTCTTTTTGAAGTTGCAAAAAATAGAGTAACTAAGTTGATCAGACGCGAGTCGACTACACAAAACGTCGACCCATATGCGGATAACACACACTCCCGTCTCTTAAATCGTATGAATGCAGAAATTGTGACGTCATTGCAATCGCGTCGCCCATGTCGCCGATCGACCCGTGTGCGGAGGGCCTTAGAGGTTTGTTCTAGTTTGAGTTCGAATTATTACGTTGAAGAATTTGTCAGATAGTCAAAAATAAAATCATTGCAGTGATAGGACTCTAGAACGAAGTTTCGAAAAATGTACTGACATACATGAGCATTCAAATATTGTGCTTTCGACTATTATTTACTGAACCATATGCTGAAGTGTAGAGACAAATTTAGCTTCAATCTTGTACAGTATGATGCAAATGTATGGAATGAATCCATGAGAGATGTTACGTCACCAGTGTTGGAGGAATGACATAATCGAAGATTTTTTTGAATACAATCGGGACATGCGACGCCTCATTCAAAAGGTCCTCTAATTGTCTATCCAACAATATTTATTCATACAGGGTCAATCATATTGTATATGAATCAATTAAATAACAGATTAGGGTAAGTTGATGACACAGAATAAACTACTGTCCTAACCTGGAAACCTTGAAGATCAAGCAAGAAATTGGCAATCTTATGATTTTTTCAGAATCCTTATGATGTTCGTGGAACATCGTGCGAACCAAGGGAGAAAAGGGAGAAGAGGTAGGTATTAGAATTTTTTTAAACTGTTGGAGATTATAAGTTCTTCGGAATACTTCCTTCGGCAAATAATTCCAAATTTTTTTCATTCTATATACGAACGAGTTTTGGTGAAGGTTTGTCTGGCTGGTATTGGTAATGATGGAATGATAGCAGAAATTTCTGAACTGCATTTCCCGTGGAAGTATCTATAGAAAATTGAAAGGCCCATTCAGTTTAGTTCATTAGCGACCAATTAACACAACTTACTCTTATGGAAATGAATGTGGTAAAGAATCAAAAATAGTCTGATCGTGAAAAATGTTTGTAAGAATTTTTAAATTCAATATTAAATTCGATTTCAAGAACACACAATATAAACAGAAGTTTTGCCTGCTTAGGAATTATTGATACCACAAGTAGTATTGTGATTCAAGAACAATGATTGGAAATGCAAAAACCAACTTCTCATTCCAGCCATAGCATTATCGCCTTCCGAATCGGCGCGTGTTTTCTGAAAGTTTCATTTTCCTATTACTGCCAAAGAAAAAACATTTATCAACAATCAGGTATGTTTTTGCTCAACTACATAAAGCTTCAGAGCGTAATATTCATCCAAGATATGTGACTTGAGAAATTTATTTTTAACATTTACGACAATGATACGTGTTTCACTCCTACAGTTGAAGCCACCCTTTCTGTATGAGTTTTTGATTATACTATTTGACTCAACTTTCGAATTTTCATTCTCAATATATCTATTCAATATTTCCCTCGGTGCTCAAGTATTTAGGTTATAGAAATATTAGATATATCATGGTACTAAACTGACTTATTCAATCACGCGAGTAGTAATAATAATAATAATATTTATTTATCAAGTAAGTAGCTGTTTCGCATGATTATGATTCTTATATGAATAAATAAAGATAAAATTTTGGGTTGAGAATACAATGCTAAATTTTAATGATTCTAGTTTGAGGTCTCCTTAGATGACTGAAATCTGGGGATTTGTCTGTATTTCTAAAGAGAATCTATTGGTATCAATCTTCAAAGAGAAAATGAACAAAGAGGTATGAGTGAGTATTTCACTCCTTGGGGTGATAATCAACCTCGAGATATGTCGAACAACACTTTACCAACACTTGTTTGTCTGAAGAACGTTAAAGCTTTGGAATTCTTTGCTAATGGAAGTATTCCCAAGAACTTATAACCTCCAGAAGTTCAAAACATTCTTAGGTGAAGTTTATGCAAAGTCAGTTGAACAGATCATCAAACGACTGTCGGGCCGCGCTGCCGCACTCTCTGAACTTTCAAAGAGACCGACGGCTTGCGGTGATGTGTTTTTCCAACTGACTTTGCATAAACTATACGCACGATGTTCTTCGAACTTGATTATTTATTGAACATCATAGAAAGGACCCCGCACGAAAACACGGGAAATTGGCTCTCGGTTGAATAGACTGAAATTTTACTATGTTGTTGTGGGATGGCTCATTAGAAAAATATGTGAGTTTAAAAAGTTTTGTATGTTTAGTTTCTGAGATATAAGCCGACAAATTTCGTAAAAACGTCGTATCGGGGTAGGATTGACAAAGGAAAAAACTGTTTTTTTAGAATAAATAAGACAAAATGAGCTAGAAAATGTATCGATCGAAACTCAAATATATGTCTAGTTATGATCACATAAATTATAGTAAATCAGGGTGTATACGAGGCACGGTCAAAAAATTCATTTTTCGGAAAAAAATTCGAGCACTATTCCAAAACCAACAAGTTATATTTTGGTGGGACATTATAGTTTTAGTCAATTGTAGGCTTCGAGAACGTATTTTGATTCTTGATAACTATGTCTGTTCGAAATATGAATTTTTAGAATTTTGTGTTACACCCCTTTTTGAAAATTGACAGCTTGTTTTTGATCACAAAGAAATGGATTGATTGATACTGTTGATTGGATGAAAGCTGAGGTGACTCACTAGCGAATTCAGTTGTTCAATTTTGCCTTTCATTTAGATACAGGGTGTGTTAGATTTTGTTGAAGATTATTTAACATGTTTCAATTGAATATCTCGAAAACAGTTCCGTTTATTTGGACCTCATTTTACTGACACTATTTTGAATATGGTGACTATCATATGCAAGAAGTTTTTCAATTTTTTATGTTCCGTTTCTGAGATATCAATTTTTGAGTTTACAGCATTACAGGTATTATAGGGTTATTACCTCGGATATTACTATCGATTCAGCAGAACTTTACGGAATCTTTCGAACATTCAATTACATTATGAAACTATTAGAAATCAATGATTTTTCACTATAAACAACACGAACCACATTGAATAACAATATGAAACCCAACAGTATGGATTCCTTAAAGTTCTGTTGAATCGATAGTAATATCCGAGGTAATAACCCTATAATACCTGTAATACTGTAAACTCAAAAATGCATATCTCAGAAACGAAACATAAAAAATTTAAAAACTTTTTGCTTATGATAGTCAACATATTCAAAATAGTGTGACTAAAATGAGATACAAATTAACAGAACTGTTTTCGAGATATTCAATTGAAACATTTTAAATAATCTTCAACAAAATCTAACACACCCTGTATCTGAATGAGAAGCAATATTGAACAACTGAATTCGCTAGTGAGGTACCTCAGCTTCCATTAAATCAACAGTTTCAATCAATTCCCAAAAACAAGCTGTCAATTGTTTTCCAAAACGGGTTTAACACATAATTCAAAGCATTCATATTTCGAACAGAGATAGTTATCAAGAATCAAAATACGCTTTCTAAGCCTACAATCGACTAAAACTATAATGTCCCACCAAAATATAACTTGTTGGTTTTGGAATAGTGCTCGAATTTTTTTCCGAAAAATGCATTTTTTGACCGTGCCTCGTATACACCCTGATTTACTATAATTTATGTGATCATAACTAGACATATATTTGAGTTCCGATCAATACATTTTCTAGATTATTCTGTCTCATTTATACTAAAGAAACAGTTTTTTTCTTTGTCAACCCTACCCCGATACGACGTGTTTACGAACTTTGTCGGCTTATATCTCAGAAACCAAACATGCAAAACTTTTCAAACTCACATATTTTTCTAATGAGCCATCCCACAACAACATAGTATAATTTCAGCCAATTCGACCGAGAGCCAATTTCCCGTGTTTTCGTGCGGGGTCCTTTATTTCCATTATTCCATTCGTGCGCTCCAAGAGATAAAAATAAAATAAAATGCGATATAATTTAGTCTTTAGGCATAAATGGGCCACTTCAGTCCCTGTTGGGAGGGCCTATTAGACAGGTGTCAGTTCCAGAAAATTAACAAGGCTCCATAATTATTGGTGATTTTGTCGAATGTAACAAAAAAATCACCCACTAGTCATTGTGAGCAAATCGCGAAATCCACGAAGCGTTGTTGGTATAAATTCAGATCATTGGCCAAATTCGTCAATTGGGTACATTATATTCTATGGTTTTTCCATTCAGATAGTTATGCAATAATAGTTATTTATGTATTAAGGGAATTATGAGGGCCTTAATTACCGATGGCAAAGTTTGCGTCCCGAGGGCCTCTGGCCCGAGGGACAGCAATTGCCAGAGGTTATTGAGGCTCTATAATTCCCGTGATACATAGATAATTTTATTTCTGACTGATTTCATTCATTAGATACCTTCCCGATTGGAAGTTAGACATGTTTTTCCGTATAGTTTCAATGTCATCAGAACGTCAGATGATGATCTTGACTACCGCGAATAGGAGATTCCTTATTGCTACGTTATTGCGTGGTTGTTGCTATGCATTTCTTATTTAATTTTAGCTAGAGGGAATTATAGCATCTATAACATCCCAAGGGAGTTATGACCCTCATTATAGATATCGTAACTATGACGATATAAGCTTATAATGTCACTGTCAGAAATAAAAGTTATTATCTATCTATCATATAAATACTATGTGACATTTGTTAGATAAACCGCTACAAGTATACAAAAATAAATAGGTCATTTTCAAACAACTTCGACTTTCTGATATCTGAGTAATAAATGATCGATTTTTAGTAGACACAATTTCGATATTTCGAAATATAATGTTTGAGGGTTATCTCAGTACAGAACATATCGTTTCAAGTATGTTCATTAAAATTAATTTCCTTCCACATGATAACGTTTGTGGTATTTTCTTTATTTTAATGAAATTGTTGCCGATTTTATAATTTTTTATTCGTTATTTTTAGAAAGATTTCCTGAACTGTTTTGGTACTTCTGGAGTGGACGATAAAGTTGGATCTGATATAAACGAAGGAAAATGTTCTTGGTTAGCCGTGGTTGCTCTCCAAAGAGCCAATGATGAACAACGCCAAATAATGGAGCAATATTACGGAAAACCAGGAGAGAAAGCTGTCGAGAAAATTAGAGACTTTTATACTGAACTTGGACTTCCAGCTACATTTGCTGGATATGAAGAAGAAAATTACAAAATAATCACTACACATATTCAACAAATTTCTAAAGGATTGCCGCATGAGCTTTTCTTTGGCCTGTTGAATAAGATGTATCAATATAATCGATAAGGCATGATAAGGTATCATCATAAATGATTGTTATTGTTACTCAGGTTTGAATAATTTTACCGTATACACTGAAATTTTGGTTTTGTTAAATGATTCCTATTTTTATAGACATTAAATTTGTTTTTCTACATGAATGCTAACGATTTTTTGATTCGGTACCACCCAAACATTATCAGTCTTTGTGAAATATTTTTATCATGTCATGTTAACTGTAGCACATTCCATATAGAAAACAAATCTATATTTGGAAGCGCTACTTTCATAAGTTATTGTATAATTTCGTGGATTGTTTTGGTTTATTCTCGATCATGATCTTTGACGTTTTCGCAATTTTTATTAATGAGGATGTGCTCGTTGACATGTGCTGATAAGATATGGTAAATTCAGTTTGAACTGGAAATAAATCGAATCAATATGTTTCATCAGTAAATTGTCATCTTGCACCTAGCACAAAACTTTTGGAAAATATGGAATATTTGATTATTAAAATTAAAATCTTGAAAGAGAAATTCAATCGGTAGTCAGTGACACCTTGTTTGAGAACTTCTTGAAGAAGAGGAATATAGGTATATCCGAGAAAAATATTGAATAATAACTTCTCATATTTTCAGATGGCCTAATCAGATTTCGCATAACTGTTTCTGTTTATGAGATTTTGAAAATTTATACTTTTTGGACCCCCTCTATATCTCAGCGAAAATGTCGAATCAAAATCTTTTTACATAGAGAAATCTACGCAGAATCCTGTGACGCACTCAAATTTATTTTTCGGGGTATGGTTTTGGAGATACGACTCAAACATGATTTTTTAAATGAAACACTCTGTATTTTATTAGCTCATCAAATTCCTTTTTTTTTTCTTCAAAATTATACAAAGTGTATAAATATATTTTCAATAATTCTCCAAAATCACTAAAATATTGAGTTTTAATACTATGAATTTTTCGTATAAAAAAGTTTCAATTGAAGGAACATAAATAATACCAACACTAATTAACTAAGAAAACACAAAACTTGGTACCTGATTGCAGCAAATAAATAGTAATAAAAAGTTCATAATGTAGAATAAGCAACTGATTGAATAGTTACTGAAACAATTGAATTTGGGAATTATTCAGTAACTTATTCATGAATTGTTCAAATTGATAAATCATTGACGGATGTCTTTATATTCCTGGAAAACTGCCTCTGTTGTTGCACGAGGTTCTTCAAGATTGTTGTGCCTCTTATTGTATCAAGACGTATTGAGAAATGATGACAATGTGTGTTAGGAAAAATGGACATCAATTTGGATATTTCAATGAATAAGTTACTGAATAATTTTCAAATTCAATTGTTTTAGTAAATATTCAATCAGTTGCTTATTCTACATTATCAACTTTTTATTATTGTTTATTTGTTACTATCAGGTAACTAAGTATTATGTTTTCTTAGTTAATCAGTGTTGGTATTTTTTCTATCCTCTTCATGGAAAAAATCAAAGGAAATATTCCTTCAATTGGAACTTTTTGATATGAAAAATCCATCGCCCACTATAAAAATTCAATGTGTTAGTGACTTTTGAGCATTTTCATGTGTATGTATTATATGTATATCATTTCGAAGAAAAAAATTAGGAATTTGATGAGTTGATGGGTGTTCTATTTAAAAAATCATAGGTTTGGGCCCTATCCCCAGAACCATACCCCGAAAAAAAATTTAGTGCGCTACTGGATTCTGCGTGAAATTCTCTATAGGTTAATATTTTAATTTGAAATTTTCGCTGAGAAACTTCGTAGATATAGAGGGCGTCCAAGAAGTATACATTTTGAAAATCGCCCTGTATCTCATAAACAGAAACAGTTATGCATAATCTGATTAAGCCATCTTGAGTTTCACAAAAAAGTGGTACAGGACTGAGATATCACGCAAAAGCATCGAAAACTGGACACACTGTACAGGGTGGCCAACTAAGACTCCAGAGTTCGATTTCTCTGCTGTCTTGAGAGATACAAAAAAAAGTTTCGCATTCAAATCAAAGTGATAACCGAGCTTCACATTTCAAAATTTCTTTGAAATACACAGGGTGTTCCGTAAGGTCACAGCACATCAAAGCTATGTTTTTTTCATCGGAACACCCTATATTTTATTTCATTTTTGAATTCTCCCTGAAGAGCTGATTTCAACGTCTCATCATACTTGGGGTCTAGCAGTAATATTTACTGAGATAAAGGGTGTGAAAAATCAAGATTTTCCAAGTTCAGGAACTTTTTGTGTCGAAACTATTCATTATTCGTCAAAACGGTTTACATGTCCCTATCTCAACTCTTCACTCACTATCAATTGGTGTTCAATTGAAATTGACTCGGAAATTGATACAAGGGGGTCAAAAAATCTAAATTTATAATTTGTTTTAATTAAATGTCAATTGAACATCAATTGATAGTGAGTGAAAAGTTGAGATAGGGACATGTAAACCGCTTTGACGAATAATGAACAATTTCGACAAAAAAAATCCTGAACTTGGAAAATCTCGATTTTGCACACCCTATATGTCAGTAACTTTCACTTCTAGACCCTAAGTATGATGGGTCGCTGAAATCAAATCTTCAGGGAGAATTCAAAAATGAAATAAAATATAGGGTGTTCCAATAAAAAAAACATAGCTTTGATGTGCTGTGACCTGACGGAACACCCTGTGTATTTCAAAGAAATTTTGAAATGTGAAGCTTGGTTAACACTTTAATTTGAATGCAAAACTTTTTTTTTGTATCTCTCAAGACAACAGAGGTATCGAACTCTGGAGTCTTAGTTGGCCACCCTGTACATGTCGAAGGATTTGCGGAAAATCTTGGGGCTTAAGGCCCAAACAAATCCACTGGATGTATTATGTGATGATTGTCAGGCCAATGATCAATGTATAGGTAGGGTGACCAGTTCTTAAGAATGAAAAAAGAGTACATTTAGTAGTATTATAAAAAGTCAAAAAAAAGCCGGAGGTTTTTTTCATTATTCATGATCAGCTGCCCTAGAATTGATAATTGGATATTCTCCTTCCTTTGAAGCAACTGCCTATTTTCACCAATATTATGAGTCATAAAAATTGACATAAAAAACATATTTATTGAAACTAGAAATGAAACATCAGAAAGAAATCAGGTAAACACCTTCATATACATACAATATGGTGAATTAATTCATGCTGAACTCAATAACTTGGTATTAACTCAAGAATGAGAAGTGATTATTGGTTGATTTCAGATAAAATTTCTTAATCTACCAATCACCTTCTCTAATTCTTGAATTAGGACTAAGTTAAGTCGTGTATGAATTCACCATATTGAAAGAACCATGCAGAGAAAATCGTATGACATATCGGTTTACGTGTGATGAAACAAGTTTCTTTCTTTCCTGATCTTTTTTCAGTTTGTTCTTCCTTATTTTCCTAATACCAAAATAAAAAAAGATAAACTTCGAGGACACAGCTGCCTTGAAATAGAGTACTTGTAGTATAAAAAGAGAACGTCTGGACACCTTACATATGGAGCGATTGCTGGTGGTCGGAAGCCTCATAGCGAACGGCATAAATTAAGCTTTCTAGTATACAGAGACTTGTCTAAGGTATATATAGGGACTCTAACAGAGACAGGCTTGTCTGGCGATCACTGTGGCTGTTGCGATCACCTGCTAAATATTCGAAAATTTATATCAAGCACTCCTACTTGGGAAAAACATAAAAACGTTTGTTTAGAAGTTTAGTTGTTCTGTTGTTTGACAAATAATAGTAATTTTCGTAACAAGTGCGGAAAGTGATTCTTTCCCGCACGTGACTGCCGTTGACACGAACGACGCGAAGCGGAGTTCGGGCAAGCAGTCGAGTGCGGGAAAGAAACTTTCCGCATGAGTTAGGAACAATATTTTTTCTACTAGCGTAGGAAATTGATTGAATCGTTCAATTGATTATTCAAGCAAATAGGAACAACTAACAAGAGATATATATTCTCTATCTATTAATTATTAGTAATTGCTATTGTGAACTTACAGTTTGACGCATTATGTTGGTTCATTGCGGAAGCCAGTAGGCCCATCAGGAGTTTGGTCTCTAGGTTCCAAACACTTCTATGAAATGAGCCAAAAATACCTATTCTTCATTCGGTTTTTTCATTTCTTTATTGTTGCACCATTCAATAAAACGCGTGTATAGCTTCTCATACCTTTCTTAAGACTTCGTTGGTGATAACGCATCTGTATCAAATCCCTATAGCTAGAAGTTTTTGATCACATTGTGGCATTTCCACTGAATCGAAAATGACAGTAACGCTGTGTCTGTCACTTCGACAATTTCAAACTTATTTGAGGTTTGATTGGCATGACAAATTGACGTTTCCCGTCAGATCAATCCAAATCTATAATGATATTTTTATAATAATTGTGGAAAACCTGGTCGTTTTCCTAATAAAATTCGGTTTCATAATTTGCGTTTTATTCCGACATAATCACATAATTATTACAGACATCACAATCATCACATGGTACCTCTACCTAACCCTGACCAAGAGTGAATCCCCATCCCATCCTGCTCACTTGCTTGAAGATGACGGAACTCTCGTCATCAATAGGATACGGACATATGGAAACTGTCAGACATGACAGTTTCCGTCTGTCAAAATAATTGCGGGAATATTCAAAATTAAATTGGGTGGTGAGATAAATTGGGTGGTCCACAACAGTTCGGCCATTCTGACACATTGATTGTCCTCAATCAACACATTATATAATGCAGACTATTAACAAGTCATTTGTACAACATATTTACAACTTATACTAATTTATGATAACTATACTACACAAAAAGCCATAAATTCATAATTCATCAGATCATAATTAAAAGCCATAAATTCATAAGATTCATAATCAGGTCACTCCAAAATCACAAGTCATAATTATATCAGTGTACATAACTATAATACATTTCCATAAGAAAGACAAGGTACAACATAACCATTAACCATATACATAAATCAACATAAATGCTTCAAAAAGTATTTCCACCATGTAAAATTTCAATTTAAGCATATTTTTCAGACAATTTATCAAAATTTTCATTTGTCATCAAACCAGCAGATAATGCCATAATATTAATGATTTTCCAACC